AATTTGTTTTGGTACCCAAGAATTCTTGGTACCAAAAAGTTTAGGGACATGACCCCTATCATTTAAGCTGAAAGCCCTAGCGTTATGAACCCTCTTGGGCATATGTGGTGCACTAACACGGTCATAACAAAAATTACTCAAATGACCCTTCCGATTGTAATAAGTACAATGGAAAGGAAGCATTTGCTTATGTTGACCAAACAGTTGTGCACGGAAAACATTAGAAACATTTGCAAACATGAATGCTCTTTTAAAATTATTTTACAAATGTGAAACTCTCTTTAAATCAAAACAAAATTTGGCCAAATGACCAAATCGACCACAAAACTCAGATTTGTACATATGAGCATGTTTATGATGATCTATACGTGTGTGTACATGTGAGCGTGATGATGAAGCTTGATGGGATGCACAAACATGATTAAGCTTGATGGGTTTTTGTGCATTATAACAAAATCTAACAAGGTGGCCTTTACGACCGCAATTAGTGCATTTATAGACTTTGTTATACATGTGTGCATAGTGTGTAGGTTTCTTAGAAGAGTTTGCATTAGACTTTGCACACAAGTCCATAAGCTTGTTATGATTATCAATGCATGTGTTTAAGGTTGAATTTAAACAAGATATGCGGTTTTTCACATGATTCAACTCATCATTAGATACAACATCATTGATAATAGAAGTAGAGCATGTATGATTATTCTTAAAAGAATCAAATTCATTTCTAATGCATTCTACTTCTAGCATGGCATTATCTTTCTCATGAGTTAACTTACCAAAGTTTGAAATTAAAGAATCATGATCCAATTTTAATTTTTCATTATTTTCTTTAAGGATCATATTCTCATTAGAAATAGTATCAAACTTAGAAGCTAAAGACTCATGATCGGATTTTAAAATAACATGTTTGCATTGTAAATCAATGAAATCATTTTGCAATTTCTTATAGGCATGCAATAATTTATCACTAGCACAAGCAAGTTCATCACTAGATAAATCATTAATGGATTCGAACTCGCAAACCTCACTAGGGCTATCGCCTAGTGCTCGTGTGCATGATGAAGCTCCAATATCACTTGAAGAAGAATCCTCCAAACTATGTCGGATTTTCTCCAAGTCCCCTTGATGTGCTTCAATAAGTTTTCATAAGTTGTAAGCACTATCAAAATGAACAAACTTGTTAGACATAGATGAATTAAGAGCATTTAACAAATATTCTAACAAAATCTTGTTCATTGTAAACATTCTTTTATCATGTTTGCTCCACTTGGATTTCTCCAACGTGGGCACAATATAAGCACAATCAATGACTTTCCATAAATCGATATTTTTAGATTGAACAAATATTTTGAATCTAAAGCACCATTGAGCATAGGGGAAAACATTGAATTTAGGAGCAACACTAGAATCATAGCCTAAACAAGATGCAACATTCATATCCATAATTTGTAAAAATATGTGCAAGCAAGATACAAAAAATCTCAAAAATGGATTAACACAAAAAGATAACTTGAATCTTTAACTCAAGACGATTAGGCCTTAAATCAAAGAGCACCAAGGTCTGATACCAATTGTTAGACCCTAGAGGGGGGGGTGGGTGATTAGGGTCTTATTGCTAATCTAATACAATTTTATGCCAATTAAAACTAATTAACAAGTTATCCTAGCAAGTATAAAATACAACAAGATATGTGAGCTAGGATGAGTGATATACACAAGGGTAAACAAAATAAACAAGATAGGAGTGATAGTGTAAATAAACAATACGAACACACAATATAATCACGGAGTTCGGACCTTCCGTCCTACATCTCCGCTCCCCATTCCCGGGGAGAAATCCACTATCACAACCGGGTTTTCTACGCTCACCCAAATAACGTTTACACCTCACAATGTCGGTTTTCAACGTTCACCGATCAACGTTTACAATCACTCACAATATCGGTTTTCAACGCTCACCGATTAACGTTCACTCCTCACACTTGGTTTTCTAGCTCACCGAAAACTTTACAATACTGACAATATAACAAATGATTTGTTCTCTACAATAGATGAGAACACAATGTAAGCTCACTCTCAATGATACAATCCCACAACCCAAATTATACTATGAATGTAAATACAATAAGCTCAATGTGGGTGTGTGTAACAATGAGAATAAATAAGACTTAACTCAAGAAGAACTAGCAATAAAATTGATATGAAATACAATAGTAAAAATACTAGGAAATAGAGTTAAGGAAACTTCTCTATAAACACAAATAGAGGATGATGAAATATTGAAGATGAACTCTTCAACAACTGATGTAAGCTCCTCTTTGTAAAACCCCAAACTTAAAACAAAACTAACCAAGCTTAAACCCTTATTAAACTTTTGTTTAAAAACTTCTTGCTTGGTTTGAGAGATGAGAGCAATGGGGTATTTATAGCCTCCCAAAACCTCAGCCAAAAACCCCAAACAAAAGACCAAAAAGCCCACAGAATCGAAAATCAGATTCTGTACCAAAATGACCATTGGGGTGAACGGTGGTCGACCGTGAAATTTTCGCGGTGGACCGCGAGCCACTTTTGAGTCTGAGAAAATTTTCAGAAACTTTTACGGTCGACCGTGGGAATTTTCAGACTGACAGTCGACCGTGGCGGTCGACTGCGAAAGTCTCTGCTGGTTACTAAGGGAAAATCACAGGCGCGGTCGACCGTGACGGTCGACCGTAAACTGACATATGAGAAAACAGGTTTGAAAGTTAATTTTCTGATTTTAAAACCCTGTTTAAAAATATCAAATAAATTCTAAAAAATGTAAAACTTTAGAGAATGATTGTAGACATGATAATAAATATGCTACAAAAACTGGTTTTCAAAAAGGACTTCCCAAATAAAAAACATCATCATTTTGTAAAATAGTCCAAAACATAAAAATGTGAACATATGAGTTTTGACATTTTAGCTTAACCATGTTTTGAAACAATACAAAATGATTTTATAGACTTGAAGAAAGATGTAAACTATTGTTATGAAGTCTATAAACAATGAATATAGTATTTTATCAAAATACACATATAATGCACTAAAACATGATTTCATTGAACTAAATAAAATTGATATTGATGAAATCATATATATGCATGTAAGTATGAAACAAAAATAGGTTTTCTAATTATATAACCTACTCTACCATAATTTCTAAGTGACCATTTTACTGATCTTCCTTAACCCCATAGGTTGATCTAATACTTTAATCCATTTTATTATGAACCCAAATATTTACCCCACCTGAATTAAGGATATAATCAGAGTAAATCAATTATCTTTATGTGCATACAATAATCTTTATGAATTGTACAAATTTCTGTATTAAAACTTTATGAAATTAAAATAAAAAACTATATAGTTGAAAAGTACACAAAATGATCTTTCCAACGACTATTTATGGGCTCAAATCGGACTTAAAACGGATCTGTAGCGACCAAAATAAAATGAATAGTCAAAACTGTAATGGGTTGGGTATAGAAATTAATGGGTCTGGCCCATTACATAATGGGTTGGATCAGAATTTTAATGGATCCAATCCATTACTATAGCGGGTCGGGTCCATTACATACTGGATCAGGTCTGGCTTAATGGGTTATAGGGTTATATAACTCAAATAATAAAATATAGTTAATTATACTAATTAATTTAATTATTAACTAATTCAATTAATTAATTAATTAAAACCCTAACCGTAAATTTTTTTAAAGAGAAGCCGCCAGCACCCAAGCCTTACTTACCGGCCTCGCTCGGCGCCAGGCCAAAGCCCGAGGACCCGGCCTCCCGTCCGCGTGCGCTACCGGCAGAGACCGGACAGACGCCAGACGGCCGAGACCTGACCGCCGTCGGCATAAAAAAAATACGAGCATCCATGGCCATGGCGAGATCCGCTAGGCGTTGAATATTTTAATCGATGTTCGTCAGCAAAAGTTGATCATAAATATTCAAAGCGTTGAACCAAGCGCATCCTTTTTTTTATGTGGAGAACCAAGCGATTTGAACTCCAGCCATGGCCGCGTGATTTTTTTAGCAGTTAGACAGCAAACACAAGAAAACCACAGCGGCCATGAAAAAAAATATTTGACGGCAAACAAAAATTGTTGAATATATTCTAGATCAAAAATTCATGCACAAACTGTGCTCTGATACCACTGTTGGATAATATAATGATTTACACATGAATAATTGAACTAGAAATTCAGATTAAAGTTACCGTTCACCGACGAAATAATGGAAGTCTTCTCCTCTCTCCTCCCGTAGCCAATGATGGGAATTAGGTCTATTTTCTGCATACGGTTGAGAGGAGGGACTCCCACCCTTTATATAGATATTTGTGATTAACCCTACCCATCATGGTTTAATCACAACCGTGAGATTACACTCCGATCGATCCTATCCTTTAGATATTCAAGATAACCACCCAACTTGATAAACATGAAACTTATCTAACCAGACCATGTAGTTAGCATCCTGATCCTAACTTGAATCGATGGCAACTTTAAATCAAATCCAAAATCAAGTAGGTTGGGCCAAATGGGTTCGTTGGATTAATCGAACCCAACATGCTTGTGCCGGAGCGTTTGGCAAATGAGCGTAGCAGCTACCTTTGTGGCTGCAGCTGCACGTGCATGCGACTGCTTGCTCTTGGTCTGGGTGACGGAATGCCTTTGGATCCCAAGCAATCGGAACCTTAGCCCGTTTAAGTAAATGCTTTAAGCACGTTGGGTCGAATGCCTTTGGATCCGAAGCTATCGGAACCTTAGCCCGTTAAGTAAATGCTTTAACACGTTGGGTCAAGATTGAATCCATCAATTAAACTCAACCTTGTCGGGTACGAATGGGGGCTTTATTGCTATGCATCAGATGATTCGGATCCATCTAATATCTTTCGGGTCCAGATCCGAGATGGGCCATCACAGACCCAAAAAATCCGACCCGTTTCCAGCCCTAGACCAGCCCCAGCCCGAAAACCAGCCGCAAATTAATCCTCAACGAGTAAGGAAATCATGGAGGTAGACGAAGGAGCAAACCAGAATCCGAACCCCACCAAAAGCTCCACCGAAAATGGAACCAGCGGCAAGAAGAACAAGAAAAAAGAAAACAAAGAGGGCAGCTTCTTGCTTGGCTCTCCAACCTTCACCGAACTCGGAAACGGCCGCTTCAAATGCAACGAGACCGGTCACGAGCTTCCCGCCAAAGAGAAGGAACCGTACGGGCGAAGTAAAGCTTGCCGCGTTGCTCTCATCGATGCTGCCGTCGCCAGCAAGAAGCCGCCTCTCAATACATTCCAACAGTGCCCTCTCTCTAAGTAAGTAGTCAAAAAATTTATCGCCTTTTTTCTCGATTTCTAGTTTTTGGAATGTTTAATCGTAGATGTTTGATTGAATGAAGGTCGAAGTTAGTGTGCGAGTTGACAGGCGATACTATTAACAAGTCCGAGGAGCATATTTGGAAACATATAACTGGCAAGAGATTTCAGAACAAATTAGGTATTCCAATTGTAGTGAAAAATCTTTTATGTACTTTGTTTGAAGAAATATTTTGAAATTTATATTTTCTTTCACGCTTTGTTCGGTCTAACATGACACGAGGTTAATTATTTTTTGCTCCGTGTGCATACATAAAACAGAACAAAAAGAATTGGAAAAGATGGCATCACCAGAAAGAGTAGAAAAGAATTCAAAGAAATCGAAAAAGTTGCATAAATCAAGTATGGAAGCTATAGAAGAGGATCAGGAGATTAAACCTGATGGAAAGGGTTCGCTTGAAGGAAACGATGAAGAGGGAAACAGTGACATAGAAGAGCCCGATTTCTGGATTCCTCCTGCTGGCGAGCGTTGGGATTTTGATGATGGAAAAGATCGCTGGGAAGATTCCATGACCCCAGATCATCATGACGAAGATGATGGCTTAGGTTAAGTGAATTTAGTTTCATGCATGAACGTCATCTTTCTTCTTTACAGAGTATTTCTTTTCTGATATGCATCATATACTAGCTTTGAAGTGATGAGTTTTTTGTCAAGTGTATTACTAAAATACATGGATGATTTTATAGTTGAAAAATGAGTAAATTTTCTAGAATACTAATTCTGAAATAACACTAACAACCTATCCAGATGTCTAGTTTTATGACTTAAAAATCAGATAAGTTTTAAGCTTTTGATGGCAATGAACCTATAGAAGTGTGTCAGTAATCATATTAACATGAATGGCTGTGCCTGATGCGGCTAAGTTTGAAATTCCCAAGTCATAAGCGTATATACCTGAATATATTGGTATGAGCATGTGTATTGAGCTTGTTATATGTTTATATCAACCTCATGCTTTATACTGGGTATCATGTGTGTTATATTGCTAATATCCATCTACACTAAATTATAGGATAACGTATATTACTTCTGATATCATGTAACAAAGTGCAAGGACTTTCAGATCTTCTATGATTTTATATCAGAAAATCAAATACCAACTGTTGTGACTTGTAAGTTTTGTGGGTGTTCGTCTATTAGTACAGATATTACCTTTATGATTATCAATGTAAGTACCTGAAGAGGATAATTGAGATTTGAGTGTAGAAGTTGTTCGGTCATTTTTTTTGGTGTTCGTCGACCCCAACACAATGATTTCAGTGAATAGATATTGTTAATATCCATATTAATAATAGGCTGTATTTGGGCATTGTTTACATAATGCTATTGAGTGAAATATTCTTTACAGTACGTTGAAGATTGAAGGATTGTAGTTGAGTATGTTTATTTGCATGATTATGTGTGCGCACGCGTTGTAATATAGTATACATATGCTATAACATGGTAAATCCCCTAATATTATGATCCATAAATAAACTGGTACGTAAAGCTTGTGTGCGGTGTGTTGTAATATAGTAAACCAAAATCCTAATATTATAGTACATAAATAAATCGGTACATAAAACACGTTCAGGATATAGTTATAGAAGCTTCCCAAGTGCTTCTGGACATAAACCAACAGGATGTCTAATTCCCAAATATGAAGAATAAATCAGTTTAATATGGAGAGCATAGTCAATTTTTGTGTTAAAAGTTCCTATCAAACACAAAGATCGGGCTTAAAACACCCATTTCAATAACTTAACACAATCGTCTATCTCTAGCTACAACTCTAAAGAAAATGCCAACCTAACGAGTAGTACTAATAACCAACAAATACTAATCATTATCAATTCAGGTATAACAATTATGCTAAAATTCAATCTGAAATATCCGATTGTACCCTCCAAAGTAAGGTGGAAAATTCAGTTTAAACCCGCCTTGTTCCTCTCAAAAGTCCTAGTTCAGTCTCAGACTCTCAGTATACACTTCCAAGTTTAGTGGCAAGATCCCAGTATAGTTCAAAATTTCAAAGACTAATGAGAGTGTGAAGGAGGAGAGAATAAGGAGACAGAGAGAAGCATTTTAACAGCTATTAATAGACTAAGATATAGGAAGAGTGAAATAACTAAGTAATCAAGAAATAATTGAAAACAGAGACTAAGATGAAATAACTAGAAGATCAAGAAATAATTTAAAATAGAGACTGATTTGTGGACAATGATGGTAGCTCTGGACTTGAGTCCTTGAGTGGATCATAGAGAGCAAGTGGGGGACAATGTGTTAGGCTGCAATCAGAATTAAAGGCTGTGGAAAATGAGCAGGATTTTTTTTTTAAATGATTGCTAATTGCTCAAAAAAATTTAATGTGAATAAGTGGACTCGACTTTCTAAGTGAACAATGACTGGAGAAGACAAGATAGCATAAAGATACTCTGATAATGATTCTCTAGAAAAGACAGTTCATTTTCCATAAAATCTTATGATAAATCGGTCATAAAAAAGATGAAGTATCTTTTAACTCTACTGACACAAAAACACGTGGACAGATTCTCTTGCTAGTCGGTGGTTAATAAGCCATATGCATTTTAGTTTGGGTTACTTGCTCACATATAATTTTCCATAATTACACATTTCCCTCCTAAATATTCAACTTTAGGTAAGGATGGCGCCAAAAGCAAAGACGTTTCAAATTTAACGGTAGAAGAGTAAATTGACCAAAAGTATCTAGTTCTCTAATTGTTGAATTGGTCAGCTTATGTGCTATTGTTAGGCAGAAGCTATGTTTGGTTAGCACTCATTGCTTGGGACAGCAATGATGCAAGTACACTCATGACATTCATAGAGAGAACCTATGAAGATAACCTGGGGTGGATGCATATAGAGCATGTTTGGCTACTACTTATTTTTTGGCTCCTTATAAGTTATTTATTACTTATTCTTAAAACTCATTATATAGATGTAAATAAATAAGGAAAGCAATTGGTAAATCCCTTTAACTTATAGGGATACAGGATACTTGATTAGTTACGTGTTTGGTAAACCAATAGCCCATAAGATATTGTTGTATCTCATATTGTGACCAATTAATTTATTTTATATTAAGCAGATAATTTACTATTAGTAAATTTATTAATTGATTAACTAAGTAACTAACTAATAAAAAATAATTATTTCACAATAGCTTTGATTATTAATTACTAATATTGAGATTAATTAATTAATTTCATATTAATCAAATATTATTATTAATAAATTAATTACTTAATTAAATAAAAATTATCTCATAATAAGATATATATCTGATTGAAATATTTCTATATAGTATATATTACATTATATGTGATTATTAATTTAATATTGGGAGTAGTTATTTATTTTCATATTAATAAAAGAAAAGTATTAATAAATTTATTATATTAATTAACTATGTAATTCATAATTGTTATTATTTTATAATAAGAAAATATTTAATTAAAGTATATTTATGTATATTTTAAAAATAACGTGATATATTTTTATGTATGACAATATTTATTGTTATAAATTACTAATATTGACACTAATTAATAGATTTTATTTTAATTAGATAATTTTTATTAAAATATTTTTATTAATTAATTATAATTTATTACTTCATAATGAGAAAATATTTAATTAAAATAGTTAATGAAACCAAAATTTTGGAACAAAAACTACCACAAGATATACAGAAAAAAACAAGTAGATAAATCTTTCTTGAAAATGCTGCAGGTCCTCTATGCACATTTAACTTCATCACCTTGGATTTTTTAACATAAAGAAAGCAAATAAAATTAGATAAATCTTCTTTGACAAATTTCTTCTGCAATTAAAGCACACATGACAATCCATACATTAGCATCCTCTTGTAGACCATCCTCTCTGCCTTTTGTTGATAGGGTATTGTAGAAGTTTCCCTCGCTTGAGGTACATAAGCTTCATTTTCAGCAATTGGAAATGCTTATTTTGCACTTTTCATCCTTATATAGTTATGATTTGCCATCATTGCAATGACTATATCTCTCTAAGTATCAATATCATATCTAGGCATCCAATACAATGTGAGCAATTGTACTTTCCAAACTCTGAAAGTGCACTCAACAATATTTCTACATGAAGAATGCAAAGGGTTGAATTTTTCTTTATACCCCCTTGGTTTACACAACTCAAGTGTTGCAGCACGCTTGAATTCTGGAACATGTGAACAATTACATGGACCCATATATCCTTGCTTATGTGATCTTGCATCAACTAATACTTCTCACCTTTTGGTTTGGAAAAATTAGTCTCCGGTCTACGGAGGGCTTCACCAAATATTCGATTGTTATAAGCAAAACCTTCTTATCCACCCCAAGAAGATACAAATGATATTAAGATAAACTGTGGCAATAATATCTTGAGTTGGATACCCTTTACGTCTAATGTATGGTACCTCCTTTCCATTTGGCAATTGAGTTCTAATCATCAATAGCTACAATGCAATCCTAAAAAATATATAAATTATTTACTACATAAATAAATGATTAAAATCTAAAAATATATAAAGTTTAAATACTAACATTAAATATGGTAGATATTTGTTTTGTTGAGGCTTATGATAATCTGCTTCTTCTTTGTAGCTGTGATAGGGTTTATGATATCTTTAGCTAGTAGTGACACCGCCATTAGAAGTCTGTCAAAATGTGGAGATATTGTTTCACTAGAATGGTGAAATGTCTCTTGAATGAGACGATTCCCAAAACCATGATCGCATATCATTCAGAACATGCTAACTTCCTCATGTATAGACATTGCTCTAGTTGCTCGCAAACCATATTTGGTACTAAAATCATGACACAACAATAAATATAGACTGTCATTCAAAAATATTGGTAACAACAAGCTTGGTTCCCCAATAGTATCTCATTTATTAATATATAACCTATACAAATTGATGTGCGGGTTCCTTATGAATATAATTACAATAATATGTGCTAATTTTGGTCGCAACTATTTTACACAAGGCTAGCCACTTAACATTATCCCACTCCGTCTGTTGCATATTTGTTTTGAAGTCAGCATCTTCCTCTTCATTGTATCTATCATTAATGCAACCAATTAGACTTGCTAAAAACATATAACTCGGTCCCATTCTGCCATTTAACTGAATTAAAACAAATAACATCCCCTTAGATCTATACACCAGATCATAATTATTAGATATAAACATTCATGGACCATGGTACTTGTTCGGACGAATTAAAAATCATAAGAAAATAGATTAAGTTTTGCAATCCAACATAATAATAAGTTTTAAGTTATCTAAGCACAATGCAAACTAAAAGTTCCACAAACCAAACAAATCTACTAAATCCATTGATACTAATAAGCTATAACACATTGTCATTAGGGCTTGGTTTCCCAGTCTTAAAATAATTCTCATAATCGAAGTGCAACCAACTAAATTTGGCTTCCTCTATATGTTGTGCTGCACACATCACTCTATTTTCCCTTCTAATCAAAAGATTGCAAGCGTAGTTATGCAAATAGGAACTCCATGAATGTTTTTAAGCATGACAATACAATCTTCAACACTTGGCTCCAAAACTAGTATTGTGCAAGATGAAGAACCATTGTTCTTAGTAGACACAAGATGGATCACTACATTGATGTACTCCTTCAATTTAACTGCGTCACTTCATTTCCTCCT